AAGGGACTCTATCTCCGTCTTCAGGTTCCTACTCAGTTGGGCCCACTAGATAGAGCTAATCCCTATCTCCGGAGATAGAGCCCCATCTCCGAAACGTCGTTTTTACGTTTTTTACGTTTTATTACTAGACGATGGATAATATCCAAGTAAATTTTTATTCAATTGACTCTTCACCATCGTCAAGAAGTTTTAGATTTAAATTATGATGTTTATAAGCGCATTCAGAAACACGTAATTAATAGCTTGGTGCTGCAGAGTGATGTTGACGCCGATAATGGTCTACGAACCGAAACGTCTTTCCGTATTGATTAACGACGATAGATGTATTTGCAGAATATGATAAATAATACGTGTGTGTGTGTGTGTGTGTAAGATGACGTAATAATGCCTCTGTTCATTTGCATGGGTGTCTGACCTCGTGCGCATTAATATTGCTGGCAGGAGCTTTCTTCGACAAATGTAATCTGTTCGACCCGTATTGGGCTATGATCACACCGCCTTCATAGCTCTCGTCTCCGTCTTTTGTGGAGAAGAAGTTATGTATCTACATGTCAGGCTGAAGGGACAATACTTGTTCGTACCCATAATTTGAATCTCCGTTCGTGAGCTGTACACATCATAGCACTACTAGTTAAGCTGCTTTGATACTTGTCTGCAGTTCCAGCGTTTTATCTCAGTGTAATTAATCTGTAACTACAAACGCTGTAACGAGAAGGAAATTTCACTGCGTGGTGTGTACAGTCCACAGACCAGGAGAAAATCCCTGCTAGGAATTCGATATACGCGCATGCGCGAGATTTCGCGGTGAGTGACGACCTATCCTAAAAGCATTCGTTCCGCAACCACTGAACGAACAACAGACGACAGGCTTTCACGTGTTCTAATGTGTACAGCTTTAAGATTACCTCACAGTGGCACAGCGATTTAATCTAGAATATTATCGCAACACCCGCAGAACACATTAGAGGTACACTCACTACACGCTACTCTTAACTGATTGATGTTTTCGGTCTGTGTAGTAGCGTAAAACTCTGACGTATCACACTTCCCACCAATAGCAGCCCTCTAGTCCACCTGGCAACTGTCCTTTACGACAATGTTGCATTGAAATCCTAAGCTCCAGTGGCGTGAAAAGCTGTTGGCCTTCGACGGGGTATTTCAGGTGTCAGTATGGGCGAATGCAGATGTGTAGGTTCCGAAGGCCCTATAAATGTTTTGTTTGTACTCTGACATTAAATGTGTTCAGAATTATGATACTGTCACCGAACATCAGAACCTTTCTTTACCTTGTGTGTGTGTGGTACTGGACACCCGGAGTATTGACAGCTGTCCTCCGTGCAGGACTCGCTATGCAGTCGCGACATTTGACACACGGATGATGCTCTGGGATTGTAGTAGTTCAGTTAAGGTCCAGATTTGTGATGCTTAGCCCACACTGCCCGCGCTCGAGGTTGACACAACGTCCCAGCTGTTCTCTCTCCGGGGAGTCTTCCTGAATATAATTTTAAAATGGATGTGAGGTCAGTAGGATGTGAGGGCATACATTGGATTTGTCTTAAGTCAGGAATGTTATGATTACCCTGAAGATGGTGGCGATACTATATGCCGTCACAACCCAGAAGACCACAGTCGACATCTTCTGTGCCATAAGAACCTCGAATCTCAGACGCTAATGAACCTTGGAGTTCCATAAATGGTTGTTCATTTTCTGTGATCTGTTGAGCGTCTGTTTGTTTCTCGGTGTATTGTTTAAATAATACGCGTGATTTTGTTTGAAATGATGTGATGTAAGAGGCAAGGAAAGGCAACTTTTGTTTGTTTTGTTAAATCCTTTATCCATGTCACAGCCATTTTGTGTTAATTCAAAGGATACGGGTCTTCGTGTGAATGAACGAATCTGAATAAACCGTACAGATCATAATGATATTAATCAGATTGTTTTGGGGGTGGAATGTGTAATCACTTGCAAGGTTTAAAAGTAGGTAGGAACCTGAAGACGGAGATAGAGTCCCATCTCCGAAACGTCGTTTTTACGTTTTTTACGTTTATTACTACACGATGGATAATATCCAAGAAGTCCGGAGATAGGGATTAGCTCTATCTAGTGGGCCCAACTGAGTAGGAACCTGAAGACGGAGATAGAGCCCCATCTCCGAAACGTCGTTTTTACGTTTTTTACGTTTTATTACTAGACGATGGATAATATCCAAGTAAATTTTTATTCAATTGACTCTTCACCATCGTCAAGAAGTTTTAGATTTAAATTATGATGTTTATAAGCGCATTCAGAAACACGTAATTAATAGCTTGGTGCTGCAGAGTGATGTTGACGCCGATAATGGTCTACGAACCGAAACGTCTTTCCGTATTGATTAACGACGATAGATGTATTTGCAGAATATGATAAATAATACGTGTGTGTGTGTGTGTGTGTAAGATGACGTAATAATGCCTCTGTTCATTTGCATGGGTGTCTGACCTCGTGCGCATTAATATTGCTGGCAGGAGCTTTCTTCGACAAATGTAATCTGTTCGACCCGTATTGGGCTATGATCACACCGCCTTCATAGCTCTCGTCTCCGTCTTTTGTGGAGAAGAAGTTATGTATCTACATGTCAGGCTGAAGGGACAATACTTGTTCGTACCCATAATTTGAATCTCCGTTCGTGAGCTGTACACATCATAGCACTACTAGTTAAGCTGCTTTGATACTTGTCTGCAGTTCCAGCGTTTTATCTCAGTGTAATTAATCTGTAACTACAAACGCTGTAACGAGAAGGAAATTTCACTGCGTGGTGTGTACAGTCCACAGACCAGGAGAAAATCCCTGCTAGGAATTCGATATACGCGCATGCGCGAGATTTCGCGGTGAGTGACGACCTATCCTAAAAGCATTCGTTCCGCAACCACTGAACGAACAACAGACGACAGGCTTTCACGTGTTCTAATGTGTACAGCTTTAAGATTACCTCACAGTGGCACAGCGATTTAATCTAGAATATTATCGCAACACCCGCAGAACACATTAGAGGTACACTCACTACACGCTACTCTTAACTGATTGATGTTTTCGGTCTGTGTAGTAGCGTAAAACTCTGACGTATCACACTTCCCACCAATAGCAGCCCTCTAGTCCACCTGGCAACTGTCCTTTACGACAATGTTGCATTGAAATCCTAAGCTCCAGTGGCGTGAAAAGCTGTTGGCCTTCGACGGGGTATTTCAGGTGTCAGTATGGGCGAATGCAGATGTGTAGGTTCCGAAGGCCCTATAAATGTTTTGTTTGTACTCTGACATTAAATGTGTTCAGAATTATGATACTGTCACCGAACATCAGAACCTTTCTTTACCTTGTGTGTGTGTGGTACTGGACACCCGGAGTATTGACAGCTGTCCTCCGTGCAGGACTCGCTATGCAGTCGCGACATTTGACACACGGATGATGCTCTGGGATTGTAGTAGTTCAGTTAAGGTCCAGATTTGTGATGCTTAGCCCACACTGCCCGCGCTCGAGGTTGACACAACGTCCCAGCTGTTCTCTCTCCGGGGAGTCTTCCTGAATATAATTTTAAAATGGATGTGAGGTCAGTAGGATGTGAGGGCATACATTGGATTTGTCTTAAGTCAGGAATGTTATGATTACCCTGAAGATGGTGGCGATACTATATGCCGTCACAACCCAGAAGACCACAGTCGACATCTTCTGTGCCATAAGAACCTCGAATCTCAGACGCTAATGAACCTTGGAGTTCCATAAATGGTTGTTCATTTTCTGTGATCTGTTGAGCGTCTGTTTGTTTCTCGGTGTATTGTTTAAATAATACGCGTGATTTTGTTTGAAATGATGTGATGTAAGAGGCAAGGAAAGGCAACTTTTGTTTGTTTTGTTAAATCCTTTATCCATGTCACAGCCATTTTGTGTTAATTCAAAGGATACGGGTCTTCGTGTGAATGAACGAATCTGAATAAACCGTACAGATCATAATGATATTAATCAGATTGTTTTGGGGGTGGAATGTGTAATCACTTGCAAGGTTTAAAAGTAGTCATCGATGGCGAATCTTAATTCAGGCTTCTGTTTCGTACGTTTTCCACCGCTGTGTAAAGAAATCAATCTAATTATAGCCACACTTTTTTTTCGTGTTTTAAATGTAATTACTCCAAGCATGATTCTGTAGCATAGCAGCATCTTCGTGTGTCTCTCTTTACTTTAATGTTGAAGATCTGTCACTTTGTGCACGTCCCATTACTGACTGATTAAACACGAAATTAGAAATTCATGAATTATAGAAATGGACAACGTCGACCGCTTTTTAGCCCCCTGAAGCCGACGCTGATATAAAAAATACTTTTAACACCGAGTCCCTACCTAAAAGGAAACACAACGCTCCTCCATTACAAACATAAATTCGTTTATACTTCAGGATATGTGTGCGTGTTCTCCTATCTCAACTTTTGAACCAGCTGACCGATTTCGTACTTGTAAATTTCCTACAGTCAGTAATAACAACATGGCAGATGCGCGAACTTGGAGATGTAAGCGACACACTTTCGATTTAATATAGGGCCGGGAAATGTTGTTAAGACAATATTTTTACAGGATGTAAACCAATGACATGTCGGTATTACACTTCGACACCGACAAGTAATGAAACACTGCAGCTAGAATTTGATCATAGACCTTCAGATTTCTGTATGAAGTATTTGGCAGTTGAAAAGATGGCGGAAACTAAGTTCTTCCCAATAACAACTCGGACCGAAGCCAACCAATGACTTAAATTGCGTTCTGATGTTGGGTTATAAACACGCGTTACGTAGCAAATTTAAAGTTAAGTACGTAAGATTTTTTCTTCGTCAACGAAAGCCGTCTTCTGATGTTGGTAAGAGAAATACGATGTTTTCTTCCAGTGGTTGGGGACGTCCGACGTCCTCGACGCCCTCTTCGTACAGCCGCCGCCGCCGCCCTGACTCATTTTCCACCCCCCTTTGTGGTGTTGCAGGCTGTGAAGCTAGAGAGTGCGCATTCTTGTCGTACCCGGTACCTGGTCGTGGTCTCGTGCGTGGGACGCCAGGACGCCGAGGAGAGTTGCCTCCTTGGGATCGACTGCAACGAGAAGACCACCGTGGGACTGGTACTGAGGGTTCTCGCGGACACGGCCATCACGCTCGACGGCGATGGGTAAGTTCGATCGTCGCGAGTCCACGGAAGTAATTAACGCGGGAATGAACAAACAATAAACAGCTCGTTTTCAAATTTTTTGACGGAGTAGGCGCAGCTGACAAGGGTGTCACTTGGCTAACAACTCTTCGCCGTGAAGGAAGAAAGTGTTACGAAGTGTTAGGAGGCGTCAGGCTTACGGGGGTGAACCTTTGGGTTTCATAGGAGCTGGGGAATTTGTGGTCTATGTGGTGGGTGTAATGATAGTTTCTCAACGAGGACTGTACTCCGCGATCTTGACGGGGGGAGGGGGTTACCACCTTCCAAATCATGTAATTGGATACTTACAAGATTTCGGGTTAAACATTAAAGTATCATAATAGAAGAAGCCACAGTTTTAATCGGAAAAGAATGAATTGTATTTATTGTCAGAATACAACTAAAACCGTGCGTCTACCTGTTTTAGTTTAAACTTTTACAATTTCCGCTTGTGCAGTGTTTTTGCTTTGGCAATTATTAAAGCGGAATGCTGGTCTTTTGAAAAAGTGGGCTTTGATTTAAGAGAGTAACGTGTTTTCGCATTG